TTGTTGTTGGCATTCATATAAATATACTGGTGTGATCACTTAGCAGCTTTACGTTTGATTGGTTTTTTGTAAACATCTATTTTGAATTTATTGCCCCCCCCCGGAGCAAACTACACCAGCCGCCACTAGTTCTGATTAGTGTAGATCATCATCAACATTTGTCACTTAAACATTTTATAATTCAAACACTTCATTTACCTGGTAAAAGAATGTCCAACAAACATAAGGCATTAGTAACATTTGACTTTATTATCCTAACTTAATAGTACTGTTTGTGTGTCTTCAAAACTGGACCCTGGATCTTGTGTGTTGTACCTAATATCAAGTGGCAATTATAAATATTTATCCAAGGATGTACCCCAGTGACCCGGGAGGAGCTCGGAGAAGAGTTGTTGCTCCTCCACGTCAAAAGGAGCGAGCTGAGGTGGCTCGGGCATTTGTTTCAGAAGCCTCCTGGTTGCGTCCCTCGGGAGGTGTTTCAGGCATGTCCCATTATGAGGAGGCCTTGTGGAAGGCCCAGGACATGCTGGAGGGACTATGTCTCCGAGCTGGCCTGGTGTTGCCTAGAGGTCCCCCCAGAGCAGCTGGAGGAAGTGTGTGTGGATCACGAAGTCTGGGCATCTCTACTTAGACTGCTGCCTCCGTGGCCCATCCCCGGATAAAGCAGAAGAAAATGGAATGGAATGGGCTGGATATACACTATTATCTATTATACCTTATTACATGGATCAAGATAGTGTTCACAATAGAAAAAATTAATGCATTTGCTCCATGTTGGCCCACATAGGCCAGCATGGAAACTAACAGTTCTTCACAAAATAATCCAAGTGGGCTAATGTCACTTTCTTTTTCTGTCATTCATGCGAATGCTACTTTGTTATATATACCAGCTACCAGAGCAAAGTTGAAAACAATAAAAAAAAATGAGATTATTCAATTGTTATTTGAAAAGTTTCACTCGCCTTCCAAATCTTTCTGATTGCAGTCTAATTGAGCTTCTGTGGGATGTGCAGGACGAGAACTTCAGTCCATGGAGGCCCAAAAGTACACTTTGAGGATATGAATCATCAGCTGCTAACATCTTGGTGCTACATTTCAAAGGACATTTTGAGGGGCTTGCCAGATACGATGATTTCAAAGTGTGTCTGTTGAAATTTCATGACTGATATTTGTATTTTTCGTTTAAAAAAACAAATTTTCAACAGTTTTTTTCCTCCAGAATGAAATTAAAATTTTGTATTAGAGAATATATAATTTTCCCTGAAGTCTAAGTAACACAACTCTGATCAGTCAGGATCATAATAGTCTTCAGTTTTGTCTTGCTAATCTCTCCTTGTGTCTCTCACCATGTATCAACATGTGAACAGTGGCTGTCACAAAGCAGCTGAGCAACTGTGACAGGCATGGATCGGTGTGTGTGTGTGTAAAGCTTGTCTCTTAGTTTGTGTTTCCTCGTGCACATTTGTCACCAGGGGCTGGATGCTGAAATTTTGCTCCAGCGAATGAGGGAATATTCAGGGTGGTCATGTGACTTTGTGATGTCAAGGAGAGAGAGAGGGAGAGTAAGGTGCAATTTAGCCCTACAGCTGATCTGTGCAGCGCTCAGAGAGAAGCTGAGACAACCAGACACAAACACACACGCACACTTTTGCTCTTTCACTCCCATGCACTTCTTTCCTTTTGCCTGTAAGCACACATGCACTCTAGGAGCCTGACATCCATGCAGTTGCACACAAAGACAACTGCAACGCATCACTCTACATCTGAAAAGAGATCATTTCTTTTCTCTTCTACATCACAACAGTTTGGTAAGTAAAGACTACTCTGCCTCCCGGACTGATAGGACACTTGGGGCAGAAGAAAGCAACTGAGGACACAGGAAGAGGAATCTAAAAGCACTACCATTGACAAGAGAGCGGAAAAGGGTGACATACAAATAGCTTATTGCAAAGATCAACAGAGGAAGATCAACTGCAGAGGAGGAGAATGTCTTTCCTCTCTGGCTCACCCTGGCAGCAGCCTGGCATCATTAATGGAAACAGTGGTTACGGACAGCCTTCCAGTGGGTATCAGCAGCAGCATCAACAGCAGCAGCACAAACCTCCTGGTGTTCTCTCCAGCGCCAACATCTCATCAGTCATGCCCTCCTCTTCACTCTCACCCACTGGTCCAGCTGCACCCCATCACGGTGACCTGCATTGCCAAACCCAGATGGTATCAGGGGGGAGCGCTGCCACAGCACAGACAGGATCAAGAATTACTTCAGTGGAAGAGGAGGTGAAATTAGGGCGAGGTGGCACCGAGGGGAATTTATCCGGGATGGTAGCATCAGAAAGGCAAAGCTTCACCACACCATTGCTGAATATAGAGGATGATTGGTCCAGACCCGAAAGGCCAAGGGAAGATGCACATAAGGTGGGAGGGGTTGGGAGTGTATTAGGGAGTGCAGGGCAAAGCCCCAGCAGCCCCCTCTCATCACATTCCTCCCCAGTTTCAACATCGCCCTCTCCTTCTCTCTCACCAGGGAGACTGTTTTCAAATTCTGTCCTTGACCCTAAACCTTTTGGACAAAACGATCTCCAGCAAAACATGGATGCGTTTCACCTTCAGGGATCCCAAAAAGGTATTCAAGGACACATCTTCCCTCCGGCTTCTAACCAGGTGTCTGGGCATCAGGAAAAAATATCATTAAACCCATCCATCACCAGAGATACAGCTTCAAGTGAAGCAGAAAGGAAGGATGCAAAGATGACAACTGGAAGCCTGTTGAAAGAGGATTCTAATGCAAGTAAACCTGGAAGTGAAACACTCAAGCCATACCTTGGAAAGTCGGGTTTAGATGTGAATACTCTTCCTTTGTCTGAGCTGAAAGATTGCAAAGCTGGTAGCACTGCAGGGCCTACAACACATGCACCTGCATCCCAGTCTCCATCCCACAAAGCTGCTGGTAATGCTGTGCCGAGTGTTTTAGGAGGCAACATGCTGGACAGAGAGAACTTAAGCCATACTGACACAGAGAGAACAGGAAGAGACAATGTAACTGAGAAAAATGTTGTAAGTTCTGCCATGGGGCAGGCTGTAAAGCCCTTTGAAAGTATGGGAAAAGGACCTTTTGCTTCGTCAAACAGAGAAACCAAAACAGTTAAAGGTAATGACGTTCCTCAGCGGACTGCAGTGAGACGTGCAATGTCTGACTGTTCACATTTGTCTGTTCCCATGGTAATGGCCGGGGCATACCCTACAGGTATGGCCATCACACAAGTGATGGCACCCCGCATGCAAGATTTCATCCCAATGGGAACACCTTGCCCATCCAGAGCCCCTTACCCACATGTTGCTGTCCGTCGATCACTTACAGTCACAGATGGGACTGAAGGCTCTAGTTCAATGGCAACAATGATCTCAGCTCCTTTAATGATGTCACCTGTAGTCCCATCATCTCCTCCTCCTAAGAGACACCATGGGAGCTGTGAGACCAATGTTCTACTTCCTGTTCCAGCTCCTGTAGGGACACTGGCTAACAGCACCCAAGATAGTATCACAAAAGCAACCGGTAAGACCTCTTTCTTGCATAGTGTGTATCGGGGGGCAAATGATCTCAAAATTAAATATGGAGTCACATTGCAGACATGGATTTGTAAATGTGTTTAAACAAAGTAAGTTGATGTATTAATAAGTATAATTATTTTTCTTTTTTTGTGTGGAACCATTCTGCCTATCACCCTACCTATTCATGATACTAAAATGCCAAACTCCATACCAACTCTAAAACACAGTCTCACCTTTTTCACTGTAGAACTGTTTTTTGTAAGCATAGCCATCTTTAGCATAAAATGAGAATAACCTATTTTGGTAAAAAAAAAAAAATATTACTAGTAGACAGTTGCGCTGCAATTTAGAAAGTGATACATTTCCTGGATTTTTTGGTAACTTTGTGTTATATTGTCTATCATTAGCTACAGTCAGCAGGGTGTATGACTCCCACTATTTCTAATACATTTCTGCTTTAATGTTAGTATAGATCCACAGTTTGTAAAATTTAAATGAATAGGAGTGATGGACTTTCTGATTTATCATTTGGATTAGAGCCACATGATCTGCAAAATGTTATAGTGCTGTAATATTTGAGCCATTAGTAACTGACAACATTATAACACAACTAAGCTTGTGAGACTTTGCATCCAATCTCCATGAACATGTCATACAGCTTAGGTACATGTGTCTCATAACAGACCAGGGCTTTATTTTTAATGTAGATTTTAACAGAAAAAAATAACAACTGATCCTTGGGTTAATATCTAAGATTAGTGCTGTAAATAATGATTATTTTGCAAATCGATCAATCTGTTGATTATTTTTTCAGTCAATTGATTAATAATCGGATAGCCAAAGGTTACTTTAAAAAGATTTTTTTTTTCAAAATTAAGGCATATTTTAAAGTCACTATACCCCAATTATCGAGTAATCGATTATTTAATTAGCTGATGATCGATTAATCATGGTAGAACCGATTAATTGTTTCAGCCCTACCTAAGACGTTTTCATGCCTAATGTGAAAGTCATAAAAAATGATTGGCAGTTCAGTATTTTTTAGCAGAAAATTCTGAACGAAAAACATTTTTCTATACCTGAATGTGCCTTTTTTTGCAAATGATAAAGGCCATTATACTCATTTGTATGCCTATGAAATCAGCTGTCTAAGAAGTAATGTTTTTTTATGACAAGGGATTACTTACTAAGTTTTAGATTCTTATTTTCTGTTGATTGCTGATTTTTCTTTTTAACAAAATTAAGGGGGAGAAAGGGTGATCATAAAAACAAAGCTTGCCAGGGAATTAGAAAAACATGATTGTATTGATGGAAATTACATGCAAAATCCCACTTTAAACATACAGATATTTTAGCACAGAGGTTTAAGAGACAGATCTTATCTTGATCTATGCAATCAAACTTTTCTGATCACTATTTTCCTTTAACAGCTTTAATCAGTGTGAGGGGTTTGCTAATTTCACAGTTTTTGGTTTAAAAACAAGAGTGTCATACAGTAGGTTAACAAGGTTTTAATGTTCTCTAGAAAATCCCAGGAATTAGATGGGTTCTGCTAAAGTTGCAAGACAAGGGAAGATTCTTTTATTTCCTATGGGAAATGTATTCTTTGCAGTTATATTTTTCAAATTTCTAACATTGTTATCGGTCCATCCAGCAGTGTGTTTAAGCTTTCAGTCCACAGCAGACAGAAAAGCTGGGACATTGATTAGAGATTGACTCTGACTGTACTCATTCAAATATAGAGCAGCTATTTCTAGCATTGTGTCTGTCTCTGTGCGTTTGTGTAGGCACTCTGCTTGTGTGTGTAGGTGGACAACTTCCACTGACGTGAATCTAACAGATCTTAAAAAGCAAACGTCTACGTACACACACACATAAGATAGAAACCATGTCTGCGCTTTTAAGATGGTCTTTTAATCATCACCAAAGGAAACCATCATGTTATGCATGTGACACACAAATAATACGTAGGCAAAAAATCAACAGTTGGTAATGATAAATACTGATCTAAGTGGCAGGTTTTGCTGTTGGCAGCATGAGAGGTTGTCAAGGAGTGCATTAGTATGTGAAAGAGATGAGCAACAGTCAAAGAATTAGATGAATAAATAACACGTTTCTTCGCTGTCCCCTGCAGAATATCTTTGTTTTGGTCATTTTAGGTCCAGTTACTGGGGAGCAGGGAGACCCTATCTGCTGATTATAGTACAAATTGCTGGTTACTGTACCTTGATAAAACTACATATTATCTGCCCTCAACCAACCACTGAGATGATTTCTTGTATTTTGACTGGTTCCCAGGAGGCAAAGCTGTTCAGTGTCAATCAGAGTTGTGCTGTGTTTGATTTTTTGTTTTCTTGTTTTTCAGGCTGAGCCTTTGTGGGGTACAATTTAACTTAAATAGTGAAGTCTTTTTGCATTTTCAAAATATGATGAAGTTATTCAATGGAAGCCTTAAGGGGGAGGAAAAATAGCCATAACATGGAAAAGAGATGATGACTGAGTGCACAAGCCTGTTGCTATTTATGAACGTCTTGTTGAGTAAAGCTTTGGTTCCTTATCACAGAAGTCTCTCAGAAAGATTACACACCTACTAAAAATAAAAAAAAAAACATCCAGGTATGGTGACATTATTTTGTCAGGTATTTTTTCAATGTTTACTAAATGGCATCACTTTTCAAGAGGAGGTTGGTGTTGTTTGGCTCTTTTTGGGGGAGCAGAGATTGGTGCAGTGGTGCAGGATGGGGGAGCATCGATAGGGTCATGACTAATTTAAAACTGCATTGCACAAAGCTGAAGCTGTTGTCACATTCTGTTTGCTACTGTCTGACATGTTTTGATTTGCATTAACTGACCCTGAGTGACGAGCTGACCCTCTGTGGGGCTCACGACCACCACTGACACAACATATTAACTATCCTCCATATCTTCATCTAAAAAAAAAAAAAACACTTATAACGTGGCTTCGATATAACACACGTATCCATGTTTGTTTAGATAAGACAAATCCACACAATTATCTGCCTATTATCTGCAGATAGTTCATGTTAAGTTGGAGGGGAGTGAAGGTGAACTGTTACAGGTGTAGCATTAGAGCAAAAAACAGGACAACATTGGCAGGAGGGGTGTGTTGCATTTTAGATGCCAATTCCCCAGAGAACCATTGATAAATCTGGATATTTGAATTCAGCAAAAAAAAAAAAAAAAGTATAATTTTAGAGCTCTGATCAAGATCATTGCTTTAAATATCAAGTGAAAACTTTTCATACTTAGATCTGAAAGGTTAATGTTTTTATGCTTATTTTGGGTGTTCTGACCTCTCTCTAGTCCATTAAAACATGATTCAACTGCAAATACACGTCTTACCTTTCTTTATTATTCATAGTTATTTTAAATTGTTTATCATTGTCTTTTTAATTATAAGATAAAACTGTTTGATTTGTGGCACCTGTATGATCAAAACTGCGATTGTAGTTTTTTTCCCATATACAAAAGAAGAGAAGCTGATTTACTGTTTAGTCCCACAAGTTCAACTTGTTTTATCACAGTGAAGGTCCAGAGCATATTTAACTGGCAATAATTTGTTGTTACACATTACAAGTCCTCTGTTGAAAAGTAGCAAAACTTGATTAGCCTCGTGTTTTATTTATTCTGAAATTGTTATTTTTTTCTCAAAATTAACTGCAGATTTTGGTAAGAAGTAAATCTACAAAATAAATATGCTTTCTGACAGCCAGGCTCATACTTGTTTGACAAACGATGTTTACATTGGGGCTGGGATTTATGTAATGTAGATATTTCTTGACATTTAGATATAAATCACATAGGCCTACTTATATTTAAAGACCACATTTTTGAAGTATTTAGAGGCTTCTAACTTTTACAATTTTCTCACATTACAATCATATTAATCCTTGAGTTTTTTTGGGACTGTGTGGTAATAAAAGTTCTACATAGGGAAATGTATGCAAGCTTTTCTTTTTTATTATTTTGTTAAAATGCATGGTATATATCTGTATTTAACAATCCTGATTGAATACATTTTTAGAACCAACTTTCACTTTTATTAAAGCTGCAAATCTATCATCTCAACATCTTCTCACATTCAGAAATGTATATATTTTCCTGTTCTTTACAAAATAGCACTTAATCAATCTGACTGGACAGAGGATATCAGTGTTTAACCCTTTTCACTGATTATCAGTTGTATGTAGGCCTGAAGGTTGCTTAGGGCATTCATATGCTGTGATCTAAACCATTTAATTTTCGCTTTGGATGATTGGGGTATTCGCCGAGTGAATAAGTACACATCTGACAAATATAAAGTCTATTAAAGGAACCTTCCTGTATGCTGTAATTTCTATTGGTGATCGTGGGTTCATGGTGCAGAGCTTTCTTTAAGACATAATATTTTGCTTTTGGCCCTCTTCGGAGGAGAAAGCTTTCTGCCGCATATTTGCAAATTTCTTATTTTGAAATAATATATTGCGAATAACAGTGTTAAATGTTGCTACTGTTTTACCTGTGGTGCTCATGCTGATTGATGCACAGGTGTAAAACAAATAGATGATACACTGGTTACATGGTTGTTGGAGTGTTGATCACCTGCTGAAAACCATTTTACGGCCTAATAAAACAGCCATACTCTGAATTGAAGTCCAACTCTATCATTTTTTTTTCTCTCTCCATCGAAAACAGTTGTTTCAATACATGCAACTGATTGCTAGCAGCTGTTATTAGGTTACAGATTTTTTTTATGTTACCAGTCTGCAGTTTGATGCTGCATGAGTCATTAGGCTGATGGCGCAGGGTGCAGTGACACAGCACTAAAAAAATCCATTTCACAACCAACAAATCACCAGTTTGTTAATTAAAAGCTGCGATATTACAACCTTTGCTTTACAGGTAATACTGTTTGAGTGCAGATTAAGTAGACTGCATATATTTATGCACAATGATCCCCTTTGGTGATGACGTTAGGCCATTTATTTGGTGTTATACATAACT